ACAAGAGCGCACGAAAGGTGAACTACACAACTTTTCCCTCCTGATCTGGTCTCATCAACAGTGCTAACCCATCACTCCGACTGGGGATTGATGAATGCGAAATGTGAGCTCGTTGAATTTTGAGGGTTTTCATTTTGCGTTGATTGCGGACTTTTGAGATATTACTTCTATATATTTTCCTCCGTCCCTAACTTTCTGACGGCATACGGTTTGTTCCTTTTTCTATTGCGGAGATCTGTGGTTATTTTTAGGGCTTTTTGTCATGCTTCTATGCGACCTAGTTGAACCAGGTTTTCCCACAAAACGTCTTTTTTCAGTTTTCATTCTGGAACATTGTTTTCTATTCGCGTCAAATCGCATTTATTTATTTATTGCAGCCACTTTCTGTCCCGAATGGGATTACTTCCTACCCGTAAAACCTAGGTACGAATAGCCACAGTAAGGCGATAGCAATTCATTGTCAGTTTTCTCAAAATTGAGACTTTTATGCTTTATCTAGCTGTATCTTTCAAATGGACAGTTCCGTCGAAAGCGAGTGGCTAATACAGTTTTGCACTAAAAATGCAATAAAACATTTGGTTTTCTTGGTGTTTTGTCGCATCGTTTACGCTTTGTGTAAACTGTGTAACTACGGTCTGCTTATCGTGCTCTTCTTCAGCATCATCAAATTGATTTTCATTGCTTTAAAAAGCGTGAAAGCGTATAAAAGCGTGAGCTCCGTTCTAATTTCACAGTGTTGTTTGATAATGTTGTCGATTGGTCCAACTGAGTGCAGTTAGTTATTTTCTGGAGTTATTCCCCTCACTTATCTGTGATGAACGTTTTGTCGGTGCTGTGTTCGTTGATAAATAACTTCCAGTATGACCTCTCTTCCCCGGTTTATCATCTACATCCACTTCATCGCGTTATCCAGCGAACCGAATATTTCTGTGGTCAGACTTTTTGATCGAAGTCATTTGCAATATCACACTCTATATAGTGCAAGTTCATCTCATTCGCTTCGCTTTTTCTAAACGTTGGTTGTTGTTCGTCGTTGTCGTTCGTGTGCTGGCCTTGTATGCCGCCGACTTGTTTACTCGTTCCCAATTTGTGCACACCGTTGTGCTTGTTCTCTCTATTGCATAACATGCAATGGAGTGGACTCACTCCTTCCAATACTAGCTATCATTTCTGTGCACCACGTCTCACTAGTTCCCTCTCTCTCTCCTGCGCACTTTCAGAGGAACTAAGCGATTCCGAGGGCGAAGATAAAACCAGTGAAGATGTGGAATCCGGTAAGTTTTTCCGCACTATTCTACTGCACTAATTAACCTGACTTCGGACAAGGTTATTTGTGAACAAACAACTGAAAACGTTTATTTTGTCACCTGACCATTTGAGAAAACCCCCTATTTTAAGCAGAATGATTGCTTTTGTTTATGATCAATGTTCAGTGTTCTTCAATTAGAGGCAGAGGGTAATTTCCCGTATGAGCCTCATCACCACAGACTCGAAGATCTCATTCATGATAGATCTGCATACCACATTGTTCGCAGGACGCTGTCG